AGCTTTCCCTCCCCCCAGCTCAGGGGCTCTGTGTGTGTGTGTGTGTGTGTGTGTGTGTGTGTGTGTGTGTGTGTGTGTGTGTGTTGTGTACATCTACCATCTGTGTGTGTAGTACATGCCTGTGAACATGTGGATGTCCATATCCACGAACCTCCAAGCTGGTGCCTGAGCAGGCCATAGGGTGACTTCCTCTATCCGTCCCTACAATATTGCCCGAGAGAGTGTCTCTCACTAAGCTGGAAGCTCAGTCAGTAGTTTAGACTCAGCTACCCTTGTAAAGAAGTTCTCATCTGCCCTTCTCTACCCTCCAGAACTGAAGTTACAGCATGGCAGCCATGCCTGGCTTTTTACATGGGTCATGGGGATTCAAATTCAGGTCCTTATGCTTGCAGAACAGGTGCCCTTACCTGCTGAGTCATCTTCCTAGGTTGTGACTTGTAACCTTGTCAGAGAAGATCAGCTGTGGATCTAGGCAACACATCAGTTTTGGGGGATGGAGGGCCACTATCTATGAACCAGCAGTCACCATAACCCTTAACTGAAATAATGGTGGAAGGGTCACCTTTTGCCCGTGTTCAAGCAAGTTCCAATGATGCGAAATGTCCAAATGCATGTTACGTGTCTCTTTGGTGGAAATTATAAAAGCCTTATTAAGAACTGTCTGCTTTGAGGGAGAAGAAGAAAGTGTGGATTTAATGTTCAGAACACAGACTTTGAATTTCAGGCTATGTATCAATCAGAGAAAACTTCCTGACAGAGATGATAATTGGGCCTTAAGGAGCCTTCTTTTGTAAAATGAAAAGCAGCTAAGCTAGCCAGGCCTTAGATTCTCTGAGTTGGGAAAATGAATTCAAGTAAAAAGACTTCTGGGAATGCTCTGAAGACAATGATTCATTTACTTGTTTCAAAGAATTTGCAGACCCTTGTGCTCTCCGTTTCCTTCCCGCATCTTATTCCTTCCCTTAGTCTTTTCTTGAACCCTTCCTTGTATTCTTCCAGTTTTCTACTTTACTATTGTAGGCCAAGAGCTATGGATATAAATGTTTTAAAAGGAAGTTCCTCCAGTAACTATTTTTGGTGTATGTGCACATGCGTGCAAGCATATTTATGTGTTTGCATGTGTGAGTATGCTTGCATGCATCTGACCGTGTGCATATGTATGTGTCTGTGTGCTTGCATGTTTGTATGTGTGCATGTATGTATGTAAGTGTGCATATGTGTATTTTCACATATGAGTGTGTATGTGCATGCCTGTATGCATGTTTGTGTGTATATGAACGTGTGTGTGCCTGTGTGTGTTGTATGTGCACATGTGTATGCATGTATGTTTGTGTCTGCATGTGAGTGTGTGATTGTTCATGCATGTTTGTATGTGTATGTGTGTGCACATGAATTAACGGTATAAGAATGTGAGCTGCATCTATACTTTTTAAATCACATTTGGTTCCACAGTGTAGGGAACAGACACTCAGTTGGAGATATTACTTAACTAGTTGGATCTCATGATATGTTCTTAGTTCATTTCAAATGAAAACCTTTAATTAGATCAGTTTGCTGTGTGATTCATTGTCAAAGCAGCATGCCTGGCATCTGCCTCATCAATCTATTAAGTGTCCTACAGTCAGTGGGGCTGTGATAAAAATGGGTGCATGCCATGTGTAGGACTTATTTGCAAGTTTGAGCTGAAGGACACACAACAATCTTGCCCAAGTTCAGCCTGGCATTCATCAAATAAAGGATTCATTATTGTTTTTATTTGAAGTGGCAATTTTACTATCATGCTCTATACATACATGAATAGATATGTTCCCAAGATTATAGTTTTCGAAATCTGTGGATATTAAGTCTGTGGCTTCTCTGAGGTGTAGGTGAAGTTATTAATGTTGAATGTTCCTTTTATGTTTCTCCATATTTTAGGTCTGTGATGGGGTCGAACAAAGAACCAGACCTAGTGCATCTTGAGGCCAGAACAGTGGATGGTCGTAAGTAAATCAGCTCTATCCAAGTGTTCATAGTGGGCTAGCTCTATCAATCTGTCCTGAGCCAAGTCTCTGCAGCTACGGTGGTGACAGTGCAAGTCATTTGGGGACGAAGATATTTTCTGTGTCCAGTAATCCAAAATTATCTTAATAATTTTTACAAATACATATATGTACCTGTATTTATAAATCTCTCTCTGTATGTCCAGATTTATTTCCATTTGGATCAATAAAATGTTAAGAAAACCATAATCCCATCAACTTGACCTGATAGAAAATTCCAAAGCTCCTGATTTCTGTGTGTGTGTGTGTGTGTGTGTGTGTGTGTGTGTGTGCTTCTTTGTGTGGGCGTACATATGTGTGCACATGCATGCAGACATTTATAAGACACCTCAAGTGTTATTCTTTACTGTTCACCTTTTTTTGGAGACAAGGTCTCCCATTGTCCTGAAAGTGTCCAAGAAGGCAAGGCCACCTGGCCCACAGGTCCCAGGCATCTGCCCCTCACTACTTCCCCAGCACTGGAATTACCGGCTTGCAATGTCCATACCCAGATTTTTTAAAAAAAATGGGTTGTGGGGATTGAACACATGCCCTCATGTTTACGAGACTAGCTCTTTACAAACTGAACTGTTCCCCTCATTTCAACCTCCAGCTTTCTGAGGTGCTTTGTTACTGGATTGTTACTTTCTATATTTTTCTCAGTCCTTTCATTTCCTCAGATACCATCCAGGAAATACCTCACTGTTTTGTTGGGGATTTACAAAACACTTCAAAAGGAAAGGAGAAATGAATGATCTGATGTGGGTCCCATCATAGGCAGCAGGAAGGGGGAGTCATTAGACTGAATTGCCTATGTGGTAGGTCTTATCAGCCCCTTTAGAGAGCTGCAGTTAAGAGATTAGGTTGTGTGCACTGTGTCATTACACACATGGTATCCAAGAAAGTGACCTGCAAATGCATAGCTCAGGCACATGTACAAATACCAAAATATCACTCACTGATAGTGTCACCTAGATAATGCCACATAAGCCTTTATATGTGTCTTTCTTTGTAAATTAAATAAGTAAAGAGTAATGGTTCCTTTATATGTTGACATTGATTTAAAAGTTACCTTGCAACAACCTGTGCCAAGAATTTCATATACTTTGTCATAGTTAAGCCTCATGACAACTTTATATGTTGTTACTCTCATTTTATAGATGAGAAAACCCAAATAAATTCAGGTGATAATGTGTGTTAGGTATTTGGTGGCTACATGAAAGACAGTGGTGTCTAGTCACAAAGCTATTTCAGGTAAGAATTAGAGCCAGTTACATATAAAGGAAAGCAGCCTTGTCTTCTTCAACATTTCAGCCAAACTATGAAAGGTTCTTACCCCTACTGTGATGTTGGGGAACTTCCAAAGGGCTAACCATTGCTGAGGTATGGCCCTCAATGCCAAGATAGGATGAAATAGGTGATGGAGACAGAAGAATTGGAGCTAAAGGGGTGTAGCTGAGGGGTGTGTGGGGAGAAAAGATGGGGGTGGGGAAGGGAGGTTCCATGCACACAAGAAGGAAAATGGAACACCCACCTACTACACAGCAAATGTGTAGATGGTCAGGTGCCCAACACTGAACCAGAGAGTGAAGAGTCTCTGCTTCTGGAGTATTCTTCAGAATTGGAAAGGGTCATCATCATTTGCCCTCATAGCTGCATACTATGAGGGTATCTCTGCCTTAGAACTTCAAGCCAGAGAAAAGTAAGTTGCCCATGTAACTCAGGAGCTATGCATATTCCAGGAATATCACTTGAAATCTTCATGAGATATTTCCTTTCTGGAGATTTGGCTTCCCCTTTGGGGCATGCATACCTTCTTGGTAAGTGAGAGAACAGTCTAAGGCTGACCATCCCCTTCATCCTGTACAGCCAAGAAGAGCTGGTGTGTGTGTGTGTGTGTGTGTGTGTGTGTGTGTGTGTCTGTGTGTGATATGCCTGTAGTAGACCTGACATGGGACTCAGTGGGGAGAGCTTCTTCTCCCTCTCTTCTGGAGGCTCTCTGAGTAGCCCTTCCATTCCCCTCAAGGAGCTGCTGCTATAATCTTGGCTCTAAAGTCCAGGTTTACTAAACAACAGAGAGAAATGTTTCCTGTGAAAAAGTAAACACACCACAAGTTTAAAGCTCTGATGACTTCACACTCTTCTGATGGTGAAGAGAACAGTCTTAACTTCCACTGGTAGCTCCAGGAGACCGTGGTTCCTGCCCATTTCTTCAGCTTAATTTCACAGTGTACTCTGCACACCTCTTCCCTGCAGGAATTTATACTTACTTGCAGCTTCTAGAACACACCAGGTCCGGCATTTTGTCTCAAGGAGCAGACACTTACTGTTTACTGTCCCCAGGATGCCCTCCTTTCTTGCTCCTCCTCTGAAATATGAAGTACAGTTAACTATTGTGGATGGTCTGTCACACAGGTGAAACATTCTTTTATCTAGCAAGTATTTCTTAAACTTCCACTTTCAACCAACATGTTTGATTTATCTATTTTTCCTTGCATATCATTTTGACATTTTACATTCTTCTTACATAATTTCATGATCAATGTTTCCTCTCCACCAGTCTATAAATTCTGTTAGGTCAGGGACCATATGTCTGTTGAATCTTCTATCTTTAACGTGTACCACTTCTACATATATGAGCTTATCGAGCTTATGAGAATGAATAGATGTGCAGGAAAATGATTGTCAGGGTCAGCAGTTATGTATATCACACTGTGTGCTAGATTTCTTGAAAACTTTGAAACATTGCATCTCAGATTTTAGTACACACACAGCCCATCTGGGGCATCTTATTAAGATGTGAATTCTGGCTCAGTAGGGGCCCAGGATCCTACAGCCTCCACAGTGATATCAATAGTGCTGTTCTGTGCAATAATGCACATTGTATAGCAACATCTCACAACAGAAAACTAATAAAAGAAAGCTCTGGATAGAAGTTTTGAGCTTTGGGGGATAAAGCTGCTTTCTGAATTGTGACATCTAGTACATACAACTCCATATTCTAAAAAGAGCAAGGCCATCGCTCGTCTTGATTTGCACAGTTCCGTACATCTAACATTATTCCTCTGTTTATAGAGTGCCTGGATGTTCATAAAGTCAAAATGTCACCCCAGGCTCAGTTTTCACAAGGCATGAAATGTATCACTTCTAATGTATTTATTTTACCTTTTTCTTTTGTTTTTGCAAACGCAGCATCTGCAGAAACTATCCAAGTGTGAAAATTCAATAAAGGTATTTAATGTGAAAAGTTATGCCTGTCAGCAGTGAAAAAGAAAAAAAAGAAATACCTATCAATTGAAACAAAAGATTGATGCATAATACCTGACCTGTTTCAATGAAGAAAAAATGAAATTGTCTTGGTACCTTAACATCTCTCCCCTGCCTCCCTACCTCTTGTTTTCTCACACTCTTCTCCCTTCTACTGTCCCTGTCTCCAAGACAGTCAGTAACCTTGGTTCTGGGTAGAAGAAACAGTGGGGAAAACAGAAGGGGAAATAGTTTGGAGTAGCAAAATGTTAGCAAGTGCAGCTGGCGGGATTAGAGAGTTCATTTATCAAAATCAGGCTCCAGGCTGGTCAGTTGCCCTAAGATTTCCAATCTGGGTTACATTTTTCCATTCCTGATTGAAATATGTCTGTTTCTCTGTCCTCTTATTATATTTATGGATCTCATCATTAATAGAGCAGGCTATCTATTGTATAAAGTACATTCCAAAATAATACAAAGCTTTTACACTTTAAGGAATTTAAAAAGTATATTCAGAATTTTTGTATCCAAGATCATTCAGACATTAGACACAGGATAAATCCTTCTTTTCCAATTTGGCATAGCTCCACGTGGGTGGCCAATGCTTTTCTGGGTTTGTCAGTCCAATTTTATCATGCTCTCATTTTAGCTGTCCCTAGATTACAGTTTATAATTAATTTGTGTTTAAACTGGAGTCCCATGTTTGAAGGGACATGAGCCCTGGAATATTTTGTTCTATGACTGACACAGATGTTTCTCATGGATAATGCATCAAAAGGTGTCTTGTAGTTCCCTCATGTGACTTGTACACAGATTGACAGGTTTTCATGGAAAATGTAAGGATTTTACTGTTTTAATATTGTGGTGTGTGTGTGTGTGTGTATGTGTGTGTGTGTAGGGGTGTGTGTCTTGTATCCACCTTGTGTAGTAAATTACCAAAAGGGAAAAACAAACTATATTTTATGAATTTACTTAATCTGGCTGTGTCTGGGTGTATACATAAAGTATGTGTAGTTAGAGAGGAAATCCTGGCTACAGTGTCGGACTGAAAGCATTTGTAAAGCATGTCTTATTGAGTCCTTGTTCCACATCTAAAACATAGCTTATAGCTTGAAATATTTAATGTTTATTGAGTTAATGAACATGTGACATATGAGTAACAGCTTACTGGCATGTCTTAAAGAAGAGTGCACAGTTGTTGGATCCCATAGGATGAGTACTTGAGCACAAGAGAGATCATCACTCTGAAACTGAGTGACACATTTCATACATTTGCACTTGGGAGGAAAATGATTTATCAGAACACTCCACCAGGCAATCATCATGTACACATAGTTCTGCACATGTGCTGATTTGTAAGCACTGAGCATAATGACCAAGTTTGACCACTATCATTTATCCTTTTACTTCTGAAGCTAAAGTCTCAGCCAGTGTCCTGAATGTTCCTCTCCTGGAGGTAAGGCTCAGAGGACAAGGAACAGAGAATGGTCCCTGACTATTTGCATGACTTTCCCAAGGACTAATCTCTTTCAATGGGGAAAACAGACCTTGGTCCTTTATTCAACTGTGAAAATGATTGCCCTCAAACTCTGTGAAATGAACAGCAAACTAACACATTATTAGCTGAAGTAAAATAAAACTAATCTCACAACTTTATTTCACTAATTCTGTCTTGTTTGGAGCTTGAAAATCTTTTTTATACTTTCTTTTCTTAT